AACACACACACACACACACACACACACACACACACACACACACACACACACACACACACACACACACACACACACACACACACACACACACACACACACACACACACACACACACACACACACACACACACACACACACACACACACACACACACACACACACACATACAGACACCGTGACAACCTCGCGGGTATAGTTAGGGAAGCTTCCTGTGACCTTCAAACGTCGAGATCTGATGAAAACTCGATTTTTGCAAAACGGGGTAAAAACAATAACTTCCCGATTTTTTATAATCTTCGATTTTGTTAGCGGGAAGTTGAAAAATTAGAAATACGGTTGACCCTGAAGGCCATCCCTGCAACTTCCCACTAATTCCATACTTAGACGCTTAAAATTGCACGTATGACGTTTTTGAGCTCTTCGAGGTTAATTAGTTATTTTAAGCTCTCTGACCACAGAAAGATAGCTTTCCTCTCCGAGCTCAAAAGTCTTATCAAAGTTCGATGAAACACAATTTTTTAAATTTTTAAACTGCCATAACTTTTGAATTAATCAACCGGTTTTCACGAGGTTGGTGGCGATCGATGTAATTTTTTAGCTCTATCAAAAAATTTGAAACAAAAAAATTGATCTGAATTTCGGAGTTATTACAAAAAAACACTTTTTTCGATTTTTTTCGACATCGATATCTCACGAACGCATCAACCGATTCTGACGCACTTAGTGGCGATCAATGCGGATTTTCAAGGTTAAGAGCTGATTAGTTTTTGAGGAGGATCGATTCAGCCAATTCGGAGATATTTTGAAAAAATGAAAAAAAACAACTTTTTTAAACTTCCCGCTAAGAAAATTGAAAATTTTTAAAAATCGGGAAGTTATCGATTTACCCCGTTTTTCAAAAATCTAGTATCATCAGATCTCGACATTTTGAAGTCCTTGAAAGCATCCCTGGCTATTCCTAAGATGGTGTCTGCATGTCTGTATGTATGTATGTGTGTGTGTGTGTTTTTTTTTTTCCAAAGAGGTACGAAAAAAGATCTTCAAAAGACACCGCTATCGTTAACTCTGCCGCCCATCTTACGGCAGATATTGATAGTCGGTAGTGTGGAGATTTTTACCCACTAAAAAAAACATTCCTCTTCCCCTCTCCCCTAGATGGTACGGAGAGGACTGGATTGGAACTGCGTTAGCATTTCTTCAATCCAGCCGTGCTGCGTCTCACGACGCCTACTCCTGGCTACTGGTCTCTTTCTGCGATTTTGTCTTTCAGGAGCTGCTGTGCATAAGCTGCAACAGCTGACCAGTTTTCCTCTTGTTTGATCATATAGGTCACCAGGCTTGAGGGGGAGAGCCTGGTGCCAATGATCTTTTCAGTGCTTCTTCTGTAGTCCTTCCACCGAGCACACTCGAAGAATGTGTGTTCGGCGTCGTCGATTTTATCCGGGCAGTATTTGCATGTTGGTGTGTTGTGTAAACCCATCTTGAAGAGATAGGCGTTGTACTGCCCATGTCCTGTCAGTAGTTGAGTCAGGAAAAAATCCGTGTCCCCGTGTTTCCGAGAGAGCCAGGCGTTGATGTTTGGGATCAGTCGCGCTCTCCATCTGCCTGTCTCTCCCGACGTCCATCGGTCCTGCCACTTTTGCTGCGTTTCCGTTTTTATCCTCGTTTTTGCCTCCTTCATGTTTTCGCCGCTGATTTTAGCGTCGTAGAGTTTTGCTCTTTCGAACGCTAATAGGTCGATGGGCGCGGCTCCCGCAATGACCAATACAGCCGCTTCTGAAACTGTGTGGTAGGCGCAGGCAACCCTGAGAGCGCCTCGCCGCTGTACTGCTGCTATCTTTCGCCGGTAGGTCTTCTGCTTTAATATGTCTGCCCATATCTCCGCTCCATAAAGCAGTACCGAGTGGACTGCTTCTAGAAGAACTCTTCTCTTTTTTGTTCTTGGTCCCATGATGTTGGTCATAATTCATGCTAGGCTAGACACAGTCTTGCTGGCTTTCTTGCATGCACTGTCGAGGTGTTCACGGAAAGATAGTTTCTCGTCTATCATTACCCCTAGATAGCGCAAGGCCCTTGTTAACGTAAGTGTTGTTCCTCCCAAGTCCACAGCGAATGGTTTTGGGAACCATGTTTGACGTGTCAAAACGACCATCTCGGTTTTCTGTTTGGCGAGTTTCAAGTGATGCTTATCAAGCCAAGTCTCGACGGTGTCGATGGTTTCCCGAACTAGCAGTCCGGCCTCTTCTACGCTGTCTGCCACTATAGTGGCTGCGACGTCGTCTGCAAAGCCTGTTAGCTCTACTTGCTCTGGCAACGGGATTTCAAGAAGCTCGTCGTAGTATGCGTTCCATAGATCAGGCCCCATTATTGAGCCTTGCGGCACGCCAGCCGTTATGGCGTATTCTTGTGGGCCTTCAGTAGTTTCAACTACTTAAGCTTTCTATCGTCAAGGTAATTGTCGACTACTATCGAGTCTAATAGAATAGACTATTTTTTTCAAACGTGAGTAACTTATATTTAAAAAAATGGCATTAAAATATGACACATATAGATCGATGAATCAAAGTTTTATGTAACTCTATCCAAAATTGCTAATTCATAAAAAATTTTTGTCAAGAAATATAAACAATAAATGATTTAAAAACGGGGTTTTTTAAGGGTCAAAATATAAGCATCAACTTTAGACTTCTGTAAAATCATAAATTCAAATTTTTTTTCCACGCTGAATTTTTTGGTGATTAGTTGAACCTTCTTAAACGCAATGATGAAAAAAAATATTTATTTTTTTCATAAATTATTATCATAATTTATAAACAATGGTCACTCGCTATTTTTTGATCAAATAGAGATAGAAATTTGTTTCGAATTAGCATTTATAAAGGGTGAAATATAGGAATTACGTGCGAATTATGAAATTTGCGACTATCAAATTTTCTGATTTATTTAATTTATTAAATTTGAGACAAGTGTTTATGGCCTCTGTTAAACCGAAGCGATTACAATGATATTCTATTGTCATTTCTTTTGTGGCAAAGGCTTACGACTCATAAAAATTCGGACGTCTTACCTGAGTGGGTCAGAACTCACAATTTTTTGTTTGATTTTCATGGGCATCGACAAGCAAAAATACAAATTTACTTTCTTTTTGAAATGTATTTTTCTCCATAATCCGTAATTTTGTACTGAGTATATAAGTTTTAGATAAATTTCTGTTCTTGATAAATTTATTTTCAACAAGGTCAATTATTTATAAAAATTTTGTTTAGTTTATTTTAAATGCAAATACAAATTTTGTTTTTATATCTCACTTTTTATATATCTCACTTAATAAATTAAAATTTCGACAGTCAGCAATTTTATACTATTCCTTATTGACACTCTTGGATAAAAAATTCTTTTCTTAATTCGTATGCATAATTATGACAAAAGTTGTTGTTATGACAACTATTGTTGTATTAATTACAATAACTATCATTTTCACTATTAGAGCACTTTCATCGCTTTCATTAACTCTAATTATTATCGGTTCGATTTCGCGATCCATATTTATGCACGTTCTTCTTGCTTTAGCCTCTTCTTTTTTTGCATGTTCAATGCAATCAGGCCATGATGAAGGTGGAATATTTTCCATGGCATTTGTACATAATTTGAGAGCATCATTAATTTTAAAAGTGGAATTATTTTTAGCTGCATCATTTTTAACGTAAGCCCATATGAGTTCAATGGGATTATATTCACAATGAGCAACGGGTAACCATAATAATTTAACTTCGTTTCCACGTTTTTCTTGTGCTATTTTTTCAAGTAAATATTGTGGAGGATAACGATACAGTTTCGCTAATTGCAATAATTCATTTTTGGTTAAGTCGGCGAATTCGTTGATGTTTTGAGGCAGTGGTACTGGTCTATTGACAAGCCACTCGATAATTTTCTGTTTTCGCCAACCGGTGGTTGGGTTTCGAAATTCAGGATCGAGCATTTTGTGATATGGTGCCTGATCTAAAATAATTACAGACTTATCCGGTAATACTTGCAATACTTTTTGAAACCATTTCAAGTAATGTTCAGCGTTCATTTCATTATGATAATCATCTGAGCCTTTTTTACCAATAAAACAAAGTCTGCAACCTGGAACGAATCCGTTGACTCCACCAATATCTAAAATTATTACTCGTTTTCCTGATCCTGAAGGAGTTCAAAATCCTCCCTTTTCACCGAAAACAGTTTGGACACGACAGCGGTCACTATCAAAATTGTTAATTTCACTTGATTGAATTGTTTCGATCCAACCATATTTTCTAGAATGATTAGCACCGCACCAAGATTCATCAGTATAAAAAATGTTGTAACCATTTTCCCTGTAATGCGCTATTTGACGAAGATAAGTGTCTCTTTGTGCGGCAACCGATACACTTTCCATCCAAACGGGTTTTTTATTGAATTTTTTATATGAAAAATTTAATTTTTTACACCAAGTTTTAAGTGTTGTTAACTTGAAATCGGGTATGTGTTCACACTCTTGTAATTTTTTATGAACCATTTCTAAAGAAGGATACATTTTTTCCGCGTAAAATCCATGAATAGTTTGTCGAATCATCCTTTGGAGAAAAATATCGAATGGTATCGCTGGTCTACCGGATTTTGGAGCAATTTGCAAGCTTTCTTTTTTTTTATCCTTCCTTAAGATACGTTGAACAGTGCTTGGAGATATTTCAAGGCACTCCGCTGTTCTTTCAATTATATTTCTAAATTTAATAGGGTTGTTTCGGTCTTTTTTGCGAGCAAAAAATTTTGCCACTTTTAAAATTAAAATTTTTTCTTTTTCACTAAAATACCCGACTTTATTTCTGTTATTTTTAAAGAATTTATCATTTTCAAAGTCAAACTCATTAGTATCGAT